CGCACCACGTTGTGTTAAAATGGTCAAGCACCTTCCAGGCAGTTGAACAGTGCTTACCACTGTCTCTGGAATGAAAGCACCAGAAAATAAACTAAGTCATACGCAGCTGTCATCCGTACGCAAGGAAGTAAGCACAAGATGCCGAACACCCTTGGCAGGATGCAGCGCACCCTTCATGCGACTCGCCGAATATCTCACGGCGCTTCGCGCTTGGTGATGTGAGAGCCTGGTCCGGTGAGAACCCGGCGTGCTCCGTCCCGGCTTTGAAGGGATGCGAGGTCAATGGTGTAACGACTACAGCATGCACGACTATGAGTACACCCCCCCCACCCCCTTCCCGCTGGCCCGACTGACCTTGTCAGAGCCCGATTGCTCGTGAAGCATCCAGCAGCTGTTTTTTCACCCACTCGCTGCAAAGACTTCGTTCAACGCATCCCCTGCATCTACTGTGGCGTTTGCTCGAACGGGCAGACTCTTCTTAGATGTATGTGTATATTGTAACAGTCAGTGACGGTGGTGCGGTGAGAACCTTCTTGTCGACAGCTTGCCGAAAATTCATCTTGTTTTCTGCCGTCTTCATCGCGGGGTTGTTATTCGAGCTTTGAAAATCGGTGCAGCGGGTGTGGCGAATATCTCTCGTGAATTTTACGGTAGTAAGCGAGGGTGGTGGGTTCGCAAGCGGCGCGGATTGTGCACCTTCACTTTTACGGGAAGAGGAGGTACTGTACTCCATAGAAGTCAGGGTACCGGTAGCTTTGCAGGTGATTATGCGTTACACGTGAACCGACATTCTCGAGAACCAAGCAGTACGACCTTGTAAACTGCCGCAAATGGTCCTGTGTCCTGTTTTTTGCCCACAGATCGTACCACCCCCGCCGGGTAGACAGGCTTTCATCGGTCGATTGATCCACAACCTGGGGGGAAATGTTGTACAGAGCTAGCTTTCCTTGGATCTATCTATCGGTTGATGGGTTTTCGATGGCAACCTATTGGGCTGTAGAGCAATCGACCTGTGGAAGTCGGTCTGAGGGTGTGAGATCACTCGGACAACTGCGTGCCGTAGGTGGAGTTGTGAAGACGCTAACACAGATCAACAACAATAACAACAACAGCAACAACAACAACAACAACAACAACAACAGGTGATTGGGTGCTACGCTCAGACAGAGCTGGGGCACGGGTCAAACATCCGTGCTCTGGAGACGACGGCCACTTTCGTGAGGGAGACGGACGAGTTCGAGATACATTCCCCGTCCATCACCGCCACCAAGTGGTGAGAACGATACCTCACGATACCTCTTTCTCTCGTTTCCCCCTAGCTTCTGGTCTACAATATGCAGGGTTACAGAGATTGTGGGGATAAAGCTGGGTCGTTTCATTATCTTGGGTTGTTTGTCTTCCGTATTTTAGGTAGTTTTCAGGTGACCACGGAAGGCGTCCTCGTCAGTTGGACCAGTACGGATATTAGATGGCACTCAGTAGAGACCGGCGTGATTTTCAAGTAAGGACAACAACAACGGCTTTGGTGCCTGGGGGGAAGAAGTGTACCGCTTATTTGCGTTGGACATGGATCTGAGGTTTGTTCGATGCGGTTTAATATAACCCTGTCGTGTTGAGCTAGTTCGCCACGATCGTAGCCTCGCTCTCGACATCAAAAGCCGCAATCTTGCATGACGTCATAGCACATGTGATAACGCCAAATAACCGTGTTAAATGCACCATCACATGGCTATCTCCGAATACCATAACATTTCAGCTGGGCGTTGTAGACCAAGGTGTACAAATTTTTGAAAGATTTGAAGAATTTTGTTTCAACGATGATTTTTGCGAGGGACACTGAGCACTGTGTTCTCCCTTGCTAATGGGTACTTGGGTAATACTTAAGTATGAATTATGCATATGTCTCAGCGTCAATCAGTGATGGAGGTTCTTTTCCACCCAACACTCGGAAAAATTCAGCCTATTCGTAGTGCACGTTACAGTACCACTTTTGGGGCACCATGTTTATGAAGAGAATGGTGCCCCGCGGATGGTGAACACAGAAGAGGCGAGGGTGTGGTTTCTACGACACTTCTTTTGAGGAATAACCATGAGTGTCCTTAAAGCCGGGACCACTGCTGTACAAAGGACTCTCAAGGGGAAATGTAAGTCGCGGGATTGACACATTCTCGAATCCATTCGCATCGAACGTCCCCCACGTTTCCTTCATATTAGCGGCGTCATTTGGCTTCATTCTGGGCCTCGGGTGCAGGCTTCGTGTCCCCACACCTCTTGTGGACGAATGGCTTACCGTCGCGGTAGCGCTGGCTCGGATTGCTGAAGTACAGGCAATCTTCCCTTGATAACTTTTCGTGTTTTTGTTCGACAAATTCATTGTATACAGTGTAGGCTTCCGTAGACTCAAAATAAGCCCGCTATCCAGCCGGTTTTTCTCCCACTCTTTGTAAAGACTTCGACACATCCCCTTTGAATGTGGTAACGACTGTGGTTGTATATTGCGAAGTCTGCTCGCTGTTGACGATATCCCGAACCGGAACCGGCCAACGCCGCAGGTGGCCTGGGACAATGGGTCGCACGGCGAACCATGCAATGGTGAGAGTAGTAAGTAGCACGCTGCAGTAGCGTGAGATCGATGCAATGTTTACGTCGTGCTTGGCTACCGGCATAGACAAGTGTTGGAACAGCGACCGTAGTTATATATTGTAGCTTATACCCATCATGAAGTGAGTGTGCTGTAGAAAAATGAAGAAAATTAGTGGGTGGTTTGACTCGTTTCGTTGTGGCTTTAAATGTTCAGTCGTAAGGAAGTAATTGGCGTCAGCGTGTTACCGGCTTTGGTTACAATAGCCGGGCTAGAGTTAAGAGTATTCTTATGTTTAGTGTATGCATAGGATCCTTGACGGAGCACGTGATTGTACACCAGTATGGTCAAGTTCTGAAAACAACATACTTTTTTTTAGCCTGATTTTCCAAGTCCCTCCAAGTCCTGAGGTAGACTGCCGTACCCCGCAGTCGCAGTCATGTACCCATCTTTTTGCGTCTTTTGTACATGTGGTAGCCTACATGCCGCAGGCGCAGTCATGCACCCGTAGCTGCGTGTTCTCTCTGTCTCTCAACCGATGTAGCGCGTCCGTCGACGACGGCCCATCGTTTACCCCACCATAGGTGATCGCACAGCTGGTGATCGACGGCAAGCAGTACGGCATCCACAACTTCATCGTGCCCATCCGGGGTGACGACCACCTCCCGCTGCCTGGTGTCAGGTGAGGAGGTGCCCGTCCGACCTGGCTGACGACGCGGGCCCCCCTTTGCAAGGAATTCTGCCGTTGTAGTTCGGGAGAAAGGACTGGTAGGGTCGTTTGTGGTCAACCTGCTTCACGGGACGTTCGACTCTTCGTAATTTCGTTCCGAAATCTGGATTCGCGTCATATCCGAGATTACAGAATCGTCATCAGTGGGGGGAGCAGTGTAGAACAGGGCCGCCGTAGCGGTGGGCCCCGTTTCGCGACAACTATTACATTATAGTGTCCGGAGGGAACATGGTCGCTATTCAAGGCAGGTCGCTTTGGCGGCTATTAGCCGGGGTGCAGTGGTGCCAGCGACTCGATTTTGTGGTCGCTAAACAGGGCATGTCGCTGAAGGGGGGCGCTAAACTCGGCCCAGTGCAAAACATCATCACTGCGGTGCCGGTGTTGTCGGCGGGGGCAGACTGCATAGCGCCGGTCGATTCGCCGGACATCCTCCGGCACTACTTGGGGGCCCGTGCTGACACCCACGAGGAAAAGCATGCGGGAAAACGCTGTCGTCATGATCGTTGCTGTCGCGCTAAGGATACCGAGGTGTGGACTGCGGCGCTATCGATTTTACATCGCTGACGGTATCGTGACGATTTCAATACATGGCACATCCATTCACATGGATGACGTCGGGATTCCGCCAGCATGGCCATCTTGTCCCGCCCGTCGAGATGGCATTCTGAGTCCTACGTCAGTGGGAAATCCTCGCAAGGCATGCCCGTGATTTAATGAGCATGGCCATCTTGTGACGCTAGTCAACATGACATGCTAGTTGTTCCGTCAGCAGGACACCCTCATATGATGTGGTCCTCGTGGCGATAAGATCATGGCTATAATATCATGTCTCAATCATGGACAATCTCGCTATCATTTCGTCAGGAAGACATCACCGAGAGTTTGTGTTAGATGTTCTCGGAGGTTGCTTGCTCCTGCTGCAGAGAGAGGCACAAGGTCTCCACCTAACCCACAGCAGCGCTCTACGGATCCTAAAACGCAACGAATTGCATCCGCATGGCAGCCGCAAGGGACAGACCTACCGCCCCGCGAAGAGTTCACTGGTACAGCCGATGTACCACCCGTCGGGGACGGAAGTACCGTGCCGTGAGGCTCCTACCGTGCCGCTTGATGTCAGCCCGCTTGTGTTGACCGATGCTCTCCTGTGGCCTACCACCCTCCGACCGATTGGCCATCGGTCCTGTGGGAACAATGCTCCGTCCTCTTGAGGACGCGTGGCCAATGATCTAGACTAATCGCTAAGGCTTGTAAAACACGAGTACTTCTCCTTCATAGATAGGCTAGGGGAAAACATTTTTGAGACACCTTTGGCGAAGTAGGATTGAACGATCGACCATCGGTGATCGGTCCTGTGGAACAGTGCTCCGTCCTCTTGAGGACGCGTGGTCAATGGTCTCGCCGCGAAGGCATGCAAAACATCAAGGAGTTCGCCCCCCCCCCCCGTCCAACCCCAGAGTTGGAGACATCGGCCCGAAGATTGGTTTTAACGCCATGGACAACGGCTTCTGCTCCTTCGACCGGGTAAGGATCCCCCGCGGCAACATGGCCATGAGGCATCAGCGGGTGGACAGAGACGGCGTGTACTCTTCCTTTGGTTCGAAGGAGAGCAGCAAGATCGCCTACATCTCCATGATGCAGGCGAGCTGGTTCCCTTTTGTGTTTACGGTGCTGAAACGAATGAACGTCTCCTTATAGTGTAGGAGGAGAGGCAGGTTTCGTAGAATGCTTGCTTGCGTTGTGGTCAGAAACCTAGGGTTGTTTCACGGAGCCCCCCCCCCCCCCCCCCCCCCCCCCCCCCCCCCCCCCCCCCCCCCCCAC